TGTATTTCAGAGTGTTATTGGTTGTGGTTTGAAAGTGAAGTAACCTAGCTTTAAAGTCCCTCTTTCTTCTTCTTCTCTGCAGGAGGTCAGATCAGCTTCGACGTCTTCCCCGACGGTTGGGACAAACGTTACTGTCTGGGCATCGTGGAGAAGGACCATTACTCCACCATCCACTTCTTTGGAGACAAGACCAAACCTGTGAGTCTCTCTCTGGTCTCTCTCTCTGGTCTCTCTCTCTGGTCTCTCTCTGGTCTCTCTCTCTGGTCTCTCTCTGGCCTCTCTCTCTGGTCTCTCTCTCTGGTCTCTCGCTGGTCTCCCTCTGGTCTCTCTCTCTGGTCTCTCTCTGGTCTCTCTCTGGTCTCTCTCTGGTCTCTCTCTGGTCTCTCTCTGGTCTCCCTCTGGTCTCTCCCTCTGGTCTCTCTCTCTGGTCTCTCTCTCTGGTCTCTCTCATCTCTCTCTGGTCTCTCTCTCATCTCTCTCTAGTCTCACTCTGGTCCTCATCCTGCCCCTCCCTGATGGGCCTCAGTGTGAGTCCTGTTGTCTCTGAGTGTTAGCATTAGCATGTGTTTGTAGCCGCGTCTGCCCTGCTCCAGTCCTCTCAGGGTCTGCTCTTTCATTGGCTCTGATGGTTCTGACACCTCTCCCTCTCCTGCTGTACATGTGTCTCATATTAAAGCTCGGGTACCTGACTTTGTCTGCATGTGTGTGTTAGAGAGAGAGAGAGAGTGTTTTTTATTTTGTTTATTAAGGTCCTCATTAGCCACTGAGGTGCAGAGAGAGAGACTAGAGAGGGAGACCAGAGAGGGAGACCAGAGAGGGAGACTAGAGAGGGAGACCAGAGAGGGAGACCAGAGAGGGAGACTAGAGAGGGAGACTAGAGAGGGAGACTAGAGAGGGAGACTAGAGAGGGAGACTAGAGAGGGAGACTAGAGAGGGAGACTAGAGAGGGAGACTAGAGAGGGAGACTAGAGAGGGAGACTAGAGAGAGAGACCAGAGAGGGAGACTAGAGAGGGAGACTAGAGAGGGAGACTAGAGAGGGAGACTAGAGAGGGAGACCAGAGAGGGAGACCAGAGAGGGAGACCAGAGAGGGAGACCAGAGAGGGAGACCAGAGAGGGAGACTAGAGAGGGAGACTAGAGAGGGAGACTAGAGAGGGAGACTAGAGAGGGAGACTAGAGAGGGAGACTAGAGAGGGAGACTAGAGAGGGAGACTAGAGAGGGAGACTAGAGAGGGAGACTAGAGAGGGAGACTAGAGAGGGAGACTAGAGAGGGGGAGACCAGAGAGAGAGAGACCAGAGAGAGAGGGAGACCAGAGAGAGGGAGACCAGCGAGAGGGAGACCAGAGAGAGAGAGACACCAGAGAGACCAGAGAGAGGGAGACCAGAGAGAGAAACGCACCAGAGAGAGAGAGAGAGGGAGAGACCAGAGAGAGGGAGACCAGCGAGAGGGAGACCAGCGCGAGGGAGACCAGAGAGAGGGAGACCAGAGAGACCCTCTGGTCTCTCTCTCTCTCTGGTCCAGAGAGAGAAACGCACCAGAGAGAGAGAGAGAGAGAGAGGGAGAGACCAGAGAGAGGGAGACCAGCGAGAGGGAGACCAGCGAGAGGGAGACCAGCGAGAGGGAGACCAGAGAGAGGGAGACCAGAGAGAGAAACGCACCAGAGAGAGAGAGAGAGGGTGCGTGCACCAGGGACTAGTCACATAAACTTGAATATATACATATATATGAAACCTCCCACTTTGTTTTCAGGGCGGAAACGACTTTGAAATCTACACAGACGATCGAACCGTGGGCCACGAGGTCAACAGCCCCGAGGAGACTATGAAGGTCTGCAAAGAACTGTTTATGTGAACAGAGACCAGAGGAGACCATGAAGGTCTGCAAAGAACTGTTTATGTGAACAGAGACCAGAGGAGACCATGAAGGTCTGCAAAGAACTGTTTATGTGAATAGAGGGGACTGGAGGTCTGCAAAGAACTGTTCCCCTCCTGAAACTCACCAGCAGGAGGTGGAGTTAATGTGAACAGAGACCAGAGGAGTGTATGTGCGAGGACAGAATGTGGAACACTGGTCCTGGACCTGCAGGTTTAATATTGTTTATCAAGACTGTGGTGTTTAGTTAAAAGCAGCTTCTGTCGATGGAGAGATGGTTAGAGTCAATCATCATCAGTTTACTTTGGGAAATTAGATTTTCTCTGGTCTCTCTCATCTCTTTCTGGTCTCTCTCATCTTTTTCTGGTCTCTCTGGTCTCCTTCTGGTCTCTCTCATCTCTCTCTGGTCTCCTTCTGGTCTCTCTCATCTCTCTCTGGTCTCCTTCTGATCTCTCTCTGGTCTCTCTGGTCTCCTTCTGGTCTCTCTCATCTCTCTCTGGTCTCCTTCTGGTCAAATAAAATATTTTATTAATGAAATTGTTTGAATTTGACTTTTTTACTGCGGTCGTGACATATGGTGTGGAAGAGTAAGTTTGATCTTGGTTTAGTATCTGGTGCCGTATCTTAGCAACCTACCTAACAACAAATCAGTGACTGGGGAAATTCCTGGGCACCCATGGCTCCATCTGTCAGTGAGAACACCGGGTTCTATGGTGCAAGAAAGACACTACGAATGTCTTTCCCTTTGAACAGAGCTTTATTGATAACTTTACAACAATGATGAACACAAATCACAACACACACACACTCAGACACACACACACACTCAGACACACACACTTTCTGAGCATAATTTAACACACAGATTAGAAAGTGTAGTTTTCGTTCCCAGTGCTTGTGGTACATTTGTTACATTTCTCACATTTTAATTTATTTTTCACTTTCAATTCCCCAGATTTCCAAAAAGAAGAAGATAAGATGGTGGGGAAATTTCAACAACCAGAGAGAGACCAGAAAGAGACCAGAAAGAGACCAGAAATTGGAATGAAAATGATAAAATAACCAATGACATAATTAGTGTTTAATCCTATTTGAGCATTTCATTTCTTCAAAGGGTTTTCCTTTCTCTCTCTGGTCTCTCTGGTCTCTCTCTCTGGTCTCTCTCTCTGGTCTCTCTGGTCTCTCTCTGGTCCCTCTCTGGTCTCTCTCTGGTCCCTCTCTGGTCTCTCTCACTGGTCCCTCTCTGGTCCCTCTCTGGTCCCTCTCTGGTCTCTCTCTGGTCCCTCTCTGGTCTCTCTCACTGGTCCCTCTCTGGTCCCTCTCTGGTCTCTCTCTGGTCCCTCTCTGGTCTCTCTCACTGGTCCCTCTCTGGTCTCTCTCACTGGTCCCTCTCTGGTCCCTCTCTGGTCCCTCTCTGGTCCCTCTCTGGTCCCTCTCTGGTCTCTCTCTCTGGTCTCTTTCTGGTCTTTCTCTGGTCTCTCTTGTTTCTCTCTCTGGTCTCTCTCTGGTCTCTCTCTCCCCATCCTCAGTGCTTCTTAATATAAACAATAATACAATAAAACTATAAAAATAAAAATATAGAATAAAGGAGCAGTTCCAGTGTTTTTGATCCTCCGCTCTTTAAACTCTGGAAAAACAAAATAAAAAGTGCAAATAATAAAAAAATATGACGTGGTTCAAACTCTTTTCCCTTTAAACAGTTCAGTCCGTTCCCTTCAGTGGGAGGAGTCCAGGCCTGAGCTAAAATCTACGTCAAACCAGTGAAAAGTTCGTAGAGATGCACGATAAGTCGATCACGGAGAAACTAAACCACAGAAGAATCTGGTTTGAGAAATGCTAAAAACGGAATCAGATCGTTTTAAAATCTTTATACTTTTAGCTTCTCCTTCCAGACGAGTGTATACAGATGACACTGCTAACATGCTAACTCAATGCTAACCCGCTAACTCAATGATAACCTGCAAATGTAATGCTAACCTGCTAGCTCAATGCTAACCCGCGAGATCATTGCAAATCTGCTAGTTCAGTGTTAGCTAGCTCATGGCTAACCCGATAAGCTTAATGCTAAAACGCTAGCTTAATGCTAACATGCTAGCTCAATAATAAATCACTAGTTTCTATGTAGAGCTTTCCAGGACACTGAAAGAAGCTTCCCATGTCATTAGGTTTTCACTCCAAACACAGAGGTGATAATATACTACTGTAGCCACAGCTGCCCTGGGGCACACTGACACACTACTTCATACAAGTCTTACCCAGGAGCTCAATGTTAACCCACTGTTGGACAAATAAAGGATCTCTCATCTTATCTTAATAGATTAATGCTAACATGCTAGCTCAATTCTAACCTTTTCGATCAATGCTAAGTAGCAAGCTCAATGCTAACCACTCCCAACGTGGCAATAAAAATGATTCTGATTCTGATTCATTCACTTTCATTGAAAAGTAAACTATAGCTCAGTATTATTGTCGTACTGTCCTCATTTAAATAATAAAAAAATAAAAATAATAGTGCATTTCCTGTGTTTGAACTGTTTGATTCTCTGATCTGTAGTTGAGGAATCGACAACTTTGTAAAGTGGTCTGGACGACTGCTGGTAAAGAGGGTTATCGGACCGTTATCGTGCATCGCTAGTTCTACTTAAATAAATCGTCTCTGCACGCGCTCACTTCTCCTTCAGAGTCTGTCTCCTGTTGCTGAGGTGGCCCTGAAGCGGAGGCCTGTGATTGGCCGGTCTTGAGTGCGTGCAGCATCTGTCGCTGCTGGTGATTGGCTCGTGGGTCGTGGGGGGCGGGGCCAGGCGGTCAGTCCTCTCCCACGTGATTGGACGACGACTCTGGGCTGCTGTCCTCTGCAGAGACAGAGACGAGAAGAGGGTTGATGGTTGTGTTTGGGATGGAGACGAGTGGTCAGAAGACTGAGGGGAGAGCAATGGTGGTGCGGGTGTACAAGGATATCAATGAACTTAGAAGTGCGGCTAACCATGAGCAGTTTGAAAGTTTAACAGTACTGGTTGTGTGTGTTGTGTTGTGTTGTGTGTGTTGTGTTTGCCTTGGTTGGAGCTCGCGTGGTTGTGGGCGGGGCCTCCTGGGGATACTGCGTCGTGATTGGTCGATTCCTCCTGGTTGACCGGAGCCTTAGTTGCTCTCTCTGTGTGGTTATACAGACCCTTCCACATCCTGGAACCAAACAACCATGTGAGCCCAAGAGGTCCCAAGTGTCCTGGTGCTGGTCCCTGTTTAGTCCTGCTCTAGACCTGCTTTAGACCTGCTTCAGTCCTGCTTCAGTCACCGTTTTAGTTCTGCTTCAGTCCCTGCTTTTGTGCTGCTTTAGTCTATGCTTCAGTCCTGGTTCGGTCATGGTTCAGTTCTGCTTCGGTCCTGGATGGGTCCTGGTTCAGTCCTGCTTTGGTTCTGGTCTTACTTGAAGCAGAAGGGGGAGGTGTTGGGTCGGAGGATGCCTTGGCTCTGGGTCAGTTCTGCTTTGTACAGAGGGTTCATGAACTGAGCTCTCTCTTTCCACAGCTGAGGCCAGACGCAGTGGGTTCTCTCACACAGTCTGCACAGAGAGAGAGACATCATTAGAGTAGAGTAGAGTAGAGCAGAGTAGAGTAGAGTAGAGCAGAGTAGAGTAGAGTAGAGTAGAGTAGAGTAGGGTAGGGCAGAGTACGGCAGAGTACGGCAGAGTAGAGTAGTGTAAAGGAGGGTAGAGCAGAGTAGGGTAGGGTAGAGTACAGCAGAGTAGAGTAGAGCAGAGCAGAGCAGAGTAGAGTAGGTCTGGTGAAACAGGGTCTCTCTCGTGGTCCTCACCTCAGGTCCCGTCGCTCCTTGGGAGAGTTACAGAGGAAGGTCCCGGACTGACAGGAGTAAACCTGGAGCCGCAGCGAGACCAGGAAGGACTCGTTAAACTCAAAGGCACAAGGAAACTGCTCCGACAACTGCCACACGGTCTCCAGGAACTGGTCCATGACCGGAGAGACCTCCTTAGGGTCCGAGTCCAGGTGACCGTACCTGCAGGAACCACAGCCTCAGTCCTGGGTCTACAGCCTCATACCTGGGTCTACAGCCTCAGTCCTGGGTCTACAGCCTCAGTCCTGGGTCTACAGCCTCAGTCCTGGATCTAAAGCCTCAGTCCTGGGTCTACAGCCTCAGTCCTGGATCTAAAGCCTCAGTCCTGGATCTACAGCCTCAGTCCTGGGTCTACAGCCTCAGTCCTGGATCTAAAGCCTCAGTCCTGGGTCTACAGCCTCAGTCCTGGATCTAAAGCCTCAGTCCTGGGTCTACAGCCTCAGTCCTGGATCTAAAGCCTCAGTCCTGGGTCTACAGCCTCAGTCCTGGATCATGACAGACCTGTGTGAGAACTTGTGGCCGAAGGAAACCCAGTCTTTCTCTATCAGGACCTGGACAGACACAGAGTGTTAAAGTGAAGTGTTTTAAATCACAGTCTGAGCCATCGCATGTTTTGGTCAGAAGGGACGGGGGGACGGCCCACAAAAGTTCCTGATGCTTTCTCTGGTCTTTCTCTGGTCTGTGAAGGATGGTTTCTCACCATGAAACCTTTGATGGTCCGGTAGAATGGGTCCAACAGAACACTGGCCACAGAACAGGCCTGAGCCGTGCGGTCCCAGCCGTCTGAGCAGTGGACCAGCACACTCACTCCTTCATCTGCTACGGCCTGGACACACCAGAGACACACTCAGGAACCAGGAACCAGAGACACAGTCAGGAACCAGGAACCAGGAACTACACTCAGGAAACAGGAACCAGAGACACACTCAGGAACAAGGAACCAGAGACACACTCAGGAACCAGGAACCAGAGACACACTCAGGAACCAGCAACCAGAGACACACTCAGGAACCAGCAAACAGAGACACACTCAGGAACCATAGATACACTCAGGAAACAGGAACCAGAGACACACTCAGGAACAAGGAACCAGAGACACACTCAGGAACCAGCAAACAGAGACACACTCAGGAACCATAGATACACTCAGGAAACAGGAACCAGAGACACACTCAGGAACCAGAGACACACTCAGGAACCAGCAACCAGAGACACACTCAGGAACCAGCAAACAGAGACACACTCAGGAACCATAGATACACTCAGGAACCAGGATCCAGAGACACACTCAGGAACCAGATGGAGAGAGAAGAAGGAGACAGGAACCTTTATAAAATATAAAGTTAAATCTGTATTTAACGTACAAAAGGAAGGCAAACACCACAACCAATCATTCACACACCAGACTCATACTATGTGCAATAATGATTTCAATAATGTTTCCGACATTCTGTGCAATATCAGAATGTGCAATATCAGAATGTGCAATAACAGAATGTGCAATATCAGAATGTGCAATATCAGAATGTGCAATATCAGAATGTGCAATAACAGAATGTGCAATATCAGAATGTGCAATATCAGAATGTGCAATATCAGAATGTGCAATATCAGAATGTGCAATATCAGAATGTGCAATAACAGAATGTGCAATATCAGAATGTGCAATATCAGAACGTGCAATATCAGAATGTGCAATAACAGAATGTGCAATAACAGAGTGTGCAATATCAGAACGTGCAATATCAGAACGTGCAATAACAGAATGTGCAAAAACAGAATGTGCAATATCAGAATGTGAAATAACAGAATGTGCAATAACAGAATGTGCAATAACAGAATGTGCAATATCAGAATGTGCCACAACAGAACGTGCAATATCAGTCACTGACCCGAGCGATGAAGGTCCCTGCGTCCAGAACAGCTTTGATGTGTTTGAGCCAACCAGAGTTCTCCAGACCCCACAGGAAGTCAGTCACAGAGGGAGTCCTCAGCTCCCCCACTGCAACACGGAGACCATAGAGTCACTACCACAGAGACCATAGAGTCACTACCACAGAGACCATAGAGTCACTACCATAGAGACCATAGAGTCACTACCACAGAGACCATAGAGTCACTACCATAGAGACCATAGAGTCACTACCACAGAGACCATAGAGTCACTACCATAGAGACCATAGAGTCACTACCACAGAGACCATAGAGTCACTACCATAGAGACCATAGAGTCACTACCACAGAGTCACTACCACAGAGACCATAGAGTCACTACCATAGAGACCATAGAGTCACTACCATAGAGTCACTACCACAGAGACCATAGAGTCACTACCATAGAGACCATAGAGTCACTACCATAGAGTCACTACCACAGAGACCATAGAGTCACTACCACAGAGTCAGAGTTGTGGCGGCACGGTGGCTGAGTGGATAGCACTCCCGCCTCTCAGCTAGAAGGTCCTGGGTTCGAATCCCGGTCGGACCAGGGCCTTTCTGAGTGGAGTTTGCATGTTCTCCCTGTGTCTGCGTAGGTTTCCCCTACCACTATAAATATGTACAATAGGTCTGCCTCCTGTTCGGTGACCCTGCTCCCATCTCTGTGTGGAGTGAGAGGACAAGTGCCCAAAAAATAACCATTGTAAACTCTGTGACTCTGGTCTGTGAAAGGCGGTATATAAATAAAGAGTACTAACTTACCACAGTGTCACTACCACAGAGACCATAGAGTCACTACCACAGGAAGTCAGTCACATAGGGGGTCCTCAGCTTCCCCACTGCTCTCCCTCTGGTCTCTGGTCTCCCTCTGGTCTCTCTCTGGTCTTACCATCAATGATCTTCTGTTGGCTGCTCCTCATCACGTGGATGTTCTCGATGCCGATAAAGTGCAGTTTGATGTTTGTGTAGTGGTCCTCGTTCTCATATCCTTTACCTGCTGCTTTGTTGGCCATGGCATTCAGCTACACACACACACACACACACCCCCCCCCCCCCCCCCCACACACACACAGACACAGACACACATACACACAGTTACACACACACACACACACACACAGTCACAGACACACAGACACACACACACAGACACAGACACACACACACACACAGACACACACACACACAGACACACACACACACACACACACACACAGACACAGACACAGACACACACACACACATAAATTTGTTAATTCTGGCTTATATAGAGGACATTTCTGATTTGCTTTTTTGGTCCCCAAAGTCCTGGAGAAACTAGTTTATAATCAACTTCTTACAGCTTTCTTGGAGGCTAACAACTTTTTTAACACTTTTCAGTCTGGTTTCAGGAAGTTCCACTGAAAGTGTCTAGTGACATCATGATGGCTGCCCACTCTGGCAAATGTTCCGTCCTGGTCCTGTTAGACCTGGTCCTGGTCCTGTTAGACCTGTCGTCTGCCTTCGACACGGTGGACCATGGCATCTTGGTCTCTAGACTGCGGGATGTGGTTGGCATGTGTTGAGGCTCTGTGTTAGAGTGGTTTACATCGTACCTTACAGGTAGAACCTTCTGTGTGTCCTCCAACAACGTGGTGTCTGAATCTGCAGACCTACAGTGGGGTGTACCCCAAGGCTCCGTTCTTGGGCATATTTTGTTCTTGATTTTTGTCCCTCTAGGCAAGTTGATCCAGCAGTTCAGTGAGTTCTCCAACCACCTGTATGCAGACGATCTCCAGCTGTACTGCTCTTTTAACCCCTCTGAACCTCTCACTAACTGTCTAGACAGAGTAAAGATGTGGCTTAGTGACAATAGCCTCCAGCTGAACTCCAGTAAAACTGAAACCTTAGTTGTAGTTCTGGACAGTATTGTGCCTCTCATTACTCAGCACCTTGGTGACCTAACATTACTCAGCACCTTGGTGACCTAACATTACTCAGCACCTTGGTGACCTAAGTAGCTCTGTGAAAAAGAGTCTGAGGAACCTTGGAGTAACTTTTGATGAAAGGATGTCCTTAGAACGACACATCAAACAGCTGATCCGGAACTGTAACTTCCACTTGCCCAACATCTCCAAGCTCAGACCAGAGTTTACACATGGTATGACCAGACGTACATGTAGGAAATGATCACGTGGGTTGGCATCAGAGATACTGCACTTGGTTGGTTTCATTCTTATCTTTTAGACAGAACCTTTGCGGTCACCATGGGTGATTTTACCTCCTCTACAGCCCCCATTACCTGTGGTGTGCCGCAAGGTTCTATTTTAGGTCCCATTTTATTCTCTATTTATATGCTCCCCCTAGGACACGTTATGGCCCGTCATAACGTGTCCTTCCACTGCTCTGCGGACGACACACAGATCTACCTCCCGCTGAGACCAAACGACCCTGGAAGTCTGGCTGCTGTGGTCGACTGTTTTAACGATGTGAACCGTTGGATGGCCCACAACTTTTTACAGCTCAACACCTCCAAATCTGAAGTCCTCCTCATCAACCCGCCTCCATCTATTTCCCACATCCAAACCCACCTCGGCCCCCTTTCCTCAAACATCACTCCCTCCGCCCGTAACCACAGCGTCATTTTTGATTCTCACCTCACCTTCCGCTCCCACATCAATAAAACCCAAACCTGCTTCTATCACCTCCGCACAATCTCAAAGATTAAAAACATCCTCACTCCTCCCGATCTCCATAAAGTCGTCAACGCCCTCATCTTCTCCCGCCTCGACTACTGCAATTCCCTCCTCTCCGGTCTCGACGCTAAATCCCTCTCCCGCCTCCAACTGGTCCAGAACGCAGCAGCCAGACTTCTCAGTGGTTTTAACAGAAGGGAGCACATCACCCCTGTCTTAGCGTCCCTCCACTGGCTCCCTGTGCGTTTTAGAATTGATTTTAAGATTTTACTGATTACTTTTAAAGCTCGTTTAGGTCTGGCACCAAGCTATATTGATGAACTTCTAACCCCCTACGAGCCCTTCCCCCGCAGCCTTAGATCCTCGGGCAGGTCCCTGTGACTGTTCCAAGCTCGAGGCTCCGGACGAAAGGTGACCGAGCCTTCTCTGTCCGGGCTCCTCGGCTTTGGAACCACCTGCCCGAGGAGATAAGGCTAGCACCATCAGTATCCTCTTTTAAATCTCTTCTTAAAACCCACTTTTATCAAACAGCTTTTAACTGTTAGTTTTAAACTTCACATGCTGTATTTTAATGTCTGCTTTGTCTTTGTTGTGTCTCTTTTGTGTTTTGCTCTGTTTGTTTTGTGTTTCTGTATCTAATTATTCTGACCTTGTATTATGACTGTTTTTATTGTTTATCATGCTGACTGTGCAGCGCTTTGTAAACACTGTTTTTAAAAGTGCTATACAAATAAAGATTATTATTATTATTATTATGGACCAGGGTGAACAGATGGATATAGTCAGGGTAGGTCTTGTGTCTGGACTATTACCCTGGTCCTGGTCTACCCTGGTCCTGGTCTCCCCTGGTCCTGGTCTCACCTTGGGCCTGGTGTCCACCACATAGATGTAGTCGCTCCCTGGGTTGGACTTCATGATGGCCTGTAGCATCAGCTCGTCCTCCTGACAGCGACCACTGAACCCTGACAGAGGCTGACTGCAGCGGCAGATAGAGGCCTGGAACCAGCAACAGAGGACACCAGGAAACATGATCAATACTGGAACCAGCAACAGCACAGAGGACAGGAGTAAGAATACACAACCAACATGGACCAGAGATCAGAGAGACCAGAGAGAGACAAGAGAGAGACCAGAGAGAGAGACCAGAGAGAGACCAGAGAGAGAGACCAGAGAGAGACCAGAGAGAGACCAGAGAGAGACCAGAGAGAGCCCAGAGAGAGGCCAGAGAGAGACCAGAGAGAAACCGGAGAGAGACTTGAGAGAGACCAGAGAGAGACCAGCAAGAGAATCAACATATCCTTAAAAATGTGACATAGGTCTCATTCAAAACCAGCAGGACTAGGAGTGTTGGACCAGGAGTGTAGTACCAGCGTGTCCTGGTGGAAGTAGGAGAGGACCGGGAAGCGCCCTCTGCTCCTGAAGCGAGCACTGCCCACGATCACAGCCGGGACCGCAGACTTAGGCACAAAGAGCTCCGGAGGATACGTGTCACAGATCTACAACACACAACAGCCTCAGTCCTGGGTCTACAACCTCAGTCCTGGGTCTACAGCCTCAGTCCTGGGTCTACAGCCTCAGTCCTGGGTCTACAGCCTCAGTCCTGGGTCTACAGCCTCAGTCCTGGGTCTACAGCCTCAGTCCTGGGTCTACGCATGGACTGACCCTAAACTCGCTGTTGGCCGTAGTGGACCCCCACAGGTTGTTGGGGACCCCCATCCTCTTGTAGTCCTCCTTCAGGTCGATGAAGCTCCAGGACTCCTCTCTCTCCTCTTTGTTCACGTTTGGGTTGAACGACATGCAGTACAACTCACTGTACTTCTCTGGACACACAAGACAGAGAGATCAGAGCGAGACCAGAGAGATCAGAGCGAGACCAGAGAGATCAGAGCGAGACCAGAGAGATCAGAGCGAGACCAGAGAGAGACCAGAGAGAGACCAGAGAGAGATCAGAGAGACCAGAGAGAGACCAGAGAGAGGCCAGAGAGAGGCCAGAGAGAGACCAGAGAGAGACCAGAGAGAGACCAGAGAGACCAGAAAGACCAGAGAGAGACCAGAGAGAGACCAGAGAGAGACCAGAGAGAGGCCAGAGAGAGAGACCAGAGAGAGACCAGAGAGAGACCAGAGAGAGACCAGAGAGAGAGACCAGAGAGAGGCTTAGGGAGAGACCAGAGAGAGATCAGAGTGAGACTAGAAAGAGATCAGAGAGAGACCAGAGAGAGACCAGAGAGAGACTAGAGAGAGACCAGAGAGAGACCAGAGTGAGACTAGAAAGAGATCAGAGAGAGACCAGAGAGAGACCAGAGAGAGACTAGAGAGAGACCAGAGAGATCAGAGCGAGACCAGAGAGAGACCAGAGAGAGACCAGAGAGAGACCAGAGAGAGACAGAGAGAAGAGAGAGACCAGAGAGAGACCAGAGAGAGATCAGAGAGAGACCAGAGAGACCAGAGAGACCAGAGAGACCAGAAAGACCAGAGAGAGACCAGAGAGAGACCAGAGAGAGGCCAGAGAGAGACCAGAGAGAGAGACCAGAGAGAGGCTTAGGGAGAGACCAGAGAGAGATCAGAGTGAGACTAGAAAGAGATCAGAGAGACTTGAGAGAGACCAGAGAGACCAGAAAGACCAGAGAGAGACCAGAGAGAGACCAGAGAGAGACCAGAGAGAGACCAGAGAGAGACCAGAGAGAGACCAGAGAAAGACCAGAGAGAGACTAGAGAGAGACCAGAGAGACAGACCTGGTCTGGACAGGCGGGTGAGGGAGGCGAGCAGGTCCACACAGTCTCTCTCACTGGGAACCAGGAGCTGAAACACTCTGAAGTCTTTGGTGCGAATCAGAAGCTGAGATCCCACTGGAGACGGAGGAGGTCTCTCCACACTGCTCACCATGCTGTGTAAGATCTGTGCAGGGGGGGGGGGGGGGGAGAGGAGAAGGGAGAGAGAGAGGAGAAGGGAGAGAGGAGGGGATGAGAGGAGAGGGGAGAGAGGAGTGAAGAGAGAGAAGAGAGGAGAGAGTGGAAAAGAGGGAGGGGAGGAGAGGAGAGTTTTATTATTTATTTTGCACTTTACATTTCCAGAAACCTCAAAGTGCCACAGATGAAAACACAAAACTATCAATGTTAAAATAATGAAGAGGTTGTGGACGGAGAGAGGAGCCAATGCATGATTATTATCATTATTATTATCATGATTATTGTTATCAATATTAGATTATTATGGGATGTGGCTTTTATGGAGCTATTATTGTTTCAATAATATTTGTGTGTGCGTTAACAGATTTGTGTGTGCGTAAACAGATTTGTGTGTGCGTAAACAGATTTGTGTGTGCGTCAAAAGATTTGTGTGTAAAACGTACTTTTTTTTTACACACACAAATCTGTTTACGCACACACAAATATTATTGAAACAATAATAGCTCCATTGCTTTCACAACCCTTCCTTCTGTTCTTTCTGCTCCTTCTGTTCTTTCTGCTCCTTCTGTTCTTTCTGCTCCTTCTGTTCTTTCTGCTCCTTCTGCTCCTTCTGTTCTTTCTGCTCCTTCTGTTCTTTCTGCTCCTTCTGTTCTTTCTGCTCCTTCTGCTCCTTCTGTTTCTTTTGTTCTTTCTGCTCCTTCTGTTCTTTCTGCTCCTTCTGTTCTTTCTGCTCCTTCTGCTCCTTCTGTTTCTTTTGTTCTTTCTGCTCCTTCTGTTCTTTCTGCTCCTTCAGCTCCTTCTGCTCCTTCTATTCCTTCTGCTCCTTCTATTCCTTCTGTTCCTTCTGCTCCTTCTATTCCTTCTGCTCCTTCTATTCCTTCTGCTCCTTCTATTCCTTCTGTTCCTTCTGCTCCTTCTATTCCTTCTGCTCCTTCTGCTCCTTCTGTTCCTTCTGCTCCTTCTGTTGCGGTGGAACCTGATCCCGTTCGCTGCAGACTCTGAAAACTCTCTCTGTGAGCACTTCCTACTGACTGTTTTTGAACAGGAGTGAAACAAGACACTGTCAAGACCTCAGGGAGCAGCCACCTCCTCTGCAGCTGAGGGAGGAGGAGAGAGAGAGAGAGAGAGAGGAGGAGAGAGAGAGCAGCAGAGAGAGAGGAGGAGAGAGGAGAGAGAGAGGAGAGGAGAGGGGAGAGGAGGGGAGAGAGAGAGGAGGAGAGAGGAGAGAGAGAGGAGAGGGGAGAGAGAGGAGGAGAGAGGAGAGAGAGAGCAGCAGAGAGAGAGGAGGAGAGAGGAGAGAGAGAGCAGCAGAGAGAGAGAGAGAGAGGAGGAGGAGAGAGAGAGCAGCAGAGAGAGAGGAGGAGAGAGGAGAGAGAGGAGAGGGGAGAGGAGGGGAGAGAGAGAGGAGGAGAGAGAGAGCAGCAGAGAGAGAGGAGGAGAGAGGAGAGAGAGGAGAGGGGAGAGGAGGGGAGAGAGAGAGGAGGAGAGAGAGAGAGCAGCAGAGAGAGAGGAGGAGAGAGAGAGAGAGGAGAGGAGAGGGGAGAGGAGGGGAGAGAGAGAGGAGGAGAGAGAGAGAGCAGCATAGAGAGAGGAGGAGAGAGGAGAGAGAGAGGAAAGAGAGGAGGAGAGAGGAGAGAGAGAGGAGAGGGGAGAGGAGGGGAGAGAGAGGAGGAGAGAGAAAGAGCAGCAGAGAGAGAGGAGGAGAGAGGAGAGAGAGAGGGGAGAGGAGGGGAGAGAGAGAGGAGGAGAGAGAGAGAGCAGCAGAGAGAGAGGAGGAGAGAGGAGAGAGAGGAGAGGGGAGAGGAGGGGAGAGAGAGAGGAGGAGAGAGAGCAGCAGAGAGAGAGGAGGAGAGAGGAGAGAGAGAGAGAGAGAGAGAGAGGAGAGGGGAGAGGAGGGGAGAGAGAGAGGAGGAGAGAGAGAGTAGCAGAGACAGAGGAGGAGAGAGGAGGGGAGAGGAGAGAGAGAGGAGGAGAGAGGAGGAGAGAGGAGAGAGAGAGGAGAGGGGAGAGGAGGGGAGACAGAGGAGGAGAGAGGAGGGGAGAGGAGAGAGAGAGGAGGAGAGAGGAGGAGAGAGGAGGAGAGAGGGGAGAGAGAGAGAGCAGTGAGAGAGGAGGAGAGAGGGGAGAGAGATGAGAGAGAGAGGAGGAGAGAGGAGGAGAGAGGGGAGAGAGATGAGAGAGAGGCAGTATGGGAGCAATTGGCCTAATAAGTGACCAATCAGGCGAGTTCACTTGTGATTGGCTCCTTGGTTGCTATGAGGTCGCTAAGAGAGCTCCAATTTCCTTCTTTTGGTAAAATCCTTTTGCTCAGACCACACTATTATACAGTCTATAGCCCCGTTTCCACCAGCCCTCTACTCTACTGTGTGTGTGTGCGTGTGTGTGTGCGTGTGTGTGTAAGTGTGTGTGTGTGTGTATCTGTGACTGTGAGTGAGTGTGTGTTGTACCCAGGTCTCTTTGCGTGTCTCTGGGTTCTCCACAAAGATAGTGTGTGTTGCTGAGAGGTAGAGAGTTCCCACAGACGCTTTTCTCTGAGCTGCAGATTGCTCCAACATCCGCACCTGCTCCACCTGCAACGAGAGACCAGAGTGAGACCAGAGAGAGACCAGAGTGAGACCAGAGAGAGACCAGAGTGAGACCAGAGAGAGACCAGAGTGAGACCAGAGAGAGACCAGAGAAAGACCAGAGAGAGACCAGAGAGACCAGAGAGAGAGAGAGAACAGAGCGAGAGAGAGAGACCAGAGAGACCAGAGAGAGACCAGAGAGAGAGACCAGAGAGAGAGAGAGAACAGAGAGAGAGAGAGACCAGAGAGGCCAGAGAGAGACCAGAGAGACCAGAGAGAGACCAGAGAGAGAGAGAGACCAGAGTGAGACCAGAGAGAGACCAGAGTGAGACCAGAGAGAGACCAGAGTGAGACCAGAGTGAGACCAGAGAAAGACCAGAGAGAGACCAGAGTGAGACCAGAGAGAGGCCAGAGAGAGACCAGAGAGAGACCAGAGAAAGACCAGAGAGAGAGACCAGAGAGAGAGAGAGAACAGAGAGAGAGAGAGAGAGACCAGAGAGACCAGAGAGAGACCAGAGAAAGAGACCAGAGAGACCAGAGAGAGAGAGAGAACAGAGAGAGAGAGAGACCAGAGAGACCAGAGAGACCAGAGAGAGAGGGAGAGACCAGAGAGAGAGAGACCAGAGAGAGACCAGAGAGAGACCAGAGAGAGACCAGAGAGAGACCAGAGAGAGAGGCAGAGACCAGAGAGAGAGAGAGAGACCAGAGAGAGCGAGAGACCAGAGAGATGTCACAAGTTTGAAGCCAGTTCTTTTGCCAAATCAAATGATCATAAGGAAGCGAAAGTGTCTGGTCTGAAACAAACAGCAGGTTTTTACAGTCACATTTTATGAATCATTGACGTGATCAAAGAGTTACACAATCTGTGGTCTGGGTCTACAGCCTCAGTCCTGGACCTACAGCCTCAGTCCTGGGTCCACAGCCTCAGTCCTGGGTCTACAGCCTCAGTCCTGGATCTACAGCCTCAGTCCTGGGTCTACAGCCTCAGTCCTGGGTCTACAGCCTCAGTCCTGGATCTACAGCCTCAGTCCTGGGTCTACAGCCTCAGTCCTGGGTCTACAGCCTCAGTCCTGGGTCTACAGCCTCATTCCCGGGTCTACAGCCTCAGTCCTGGGACTACAGCCTCAGTCCCGGGTCTACAGCCTCAGTCCTGGATCTACAGCCTCAGTCCTGGGTCTACAGCCTCAGTCCTGGATCTACAGCCTCAGTCTTCATAGAATAATTTTCATATTTTCTTACATTCTCTGTGGGTACTTTTTATCCATATATTATATAATTTCTTTATGTTCTTTTCTAGAAGAAGATGATCCCTGCGAGTCACTGTCTGACTCTTTGGGCTGAGAGCTGATTGGCTGAGAAAGGGGGGTCCTCTCTGTGTCACTTTTCTGTCTAAACAAACTGATCTAAAGATGAGACAAAGACCAGAGAATAATTTTTAAATTGGATAACTGGTATTTTATTGTTTTTAATACATTTTAATTGTTGTTACTTTACGTACATAATATTTAACTTATTCATTGTTTTATATATAAAGCTGCTAACCTGTAGATTTGCATGTGTTGATTGTATCTCTGTGCAGCACTTTGGAAACATGTTTTATAAAGTGTTATATATAAATAAAGTGGATAGGATCCTCAGGAAACTTGGTCCTTATACAACATAACAAAAATGTATTTACAACTGTAGAAATAATGAAAGTATGTGGGATTCAACACAAAATTGACCAGTTTGTTCCCATTTGCATAATATTACTAAAAACACTCTTAATGTCATTGTTTTGAATTTAAATACAATAAAACAGACTGTAAATTCATATTTTTCCATCACAGATAAACACTAAGGAGCTGAGGAATAATGTGATGCAGCCAGAGATGAGTCAGGAGATTTCCCTTGTATTCTATTACACAGCATTAAATATGAACACTAAACAGAATGACTCATAGACAAGCAAATACTGAGTCTAAATACATTACTTTTGTGGGAAAAAAACATTTGAAACGGACCAAATGCATTGTGTGGGTTATAAATGGTTAATAGCAGAGAACGGGGATGGCTAGCCTGGAATTATAACATACAAAAATAAATATTATCTGTAAATGCATTCAAATGAGATCGGATTGAAGTGATTAGTAAATAATAATGAAGGTAGAATAGATTCCTGGTGTTGCTGGTGCAGAGCTGGTGCCACTGCCGCGACCTTACAATGAAAGGCTTTGGTTCTGTGCATAAAAGACATCCCTAAATAACATGTTTTTAGTATTAATGCATGGTTATAAATGCAATACCTTGGGAGTCCGTATGTGCTCCATCATCCACGGTCAAAATGGAGAAGGAGGAGGGGGGGGAGGAGGTGGTTCTATCCGCCCAGGAGCGCTTCAGTTCCCGTGTGCAGACTGGTCTCAGCCCGGTGTCAGCTCCGCGGCTCCATCACTGATCCTGCCCCGGACTCTGGGCCTGTCTGCCCGGGTGTTCGGTCCCCATGCCCCGCAGAGTGTGTGCCGTATGTGTCTGCGGTGGTGGAGGTGTAGATTATTCGTAGTTAGCGGTGAAATGTGATCGTGACGCTGCGTTATGTGTGCGTCAAGAGTGCGTCAGTCTATGGGACGCACCGGAGACACACATCCGGGTTACTACAAAATAAACTCAGAGTAACGAGGTCTGCATCCGCGGTGGCTTTGGATCCCATTAGAACCACAGCAGTCAATTTGACGACTTCTTCTTCTTTTTATTTTTTTCTTATTAGGAAAAGGGTCTCAACATTACAAAGATGTATCATCGTCGTTTGGTTTCCTTCTATTATGGATATCGACCACGGATCAGACCTATGGCCCAGGCCAGTCTATGGCCCAGGCCAGTCTATGGCCCAGACCAGTCTATGGTCCAGGCCAGTCTATGGTCCAGGCCAGTCTATGGCCCAGGCCAGTCTATGGCCCAGGCCAGTCTATGGCCCAGACCAGTCTATGGTCCAGGCCAGTCTATGGCCCAGGCCAGTCTATGGCCCAGGCCAGTCTATGGCCCAGACCAGTCTATGGTCCAGGCCAGTCTATGGCCCAGACCAGTCTATGGCCCAGGCCAGTCTATGGTCCAGGCCAGTCTATGGTCCAGGCCAGTCTATGGCCCAGGCCAGTCTATGGTCCAGGCCAGTCTATGGCCCAGACCAGTCTATGGTCCAGGCCAGTCTATGGTCCAGACCAGTCTATTATTTGTTTTTATTTTTAACATAAGCACTTGTTAAATTCAATATTATATGCATATAAGATATTTTTAAAACTATAAATATGAAATATATATGGTGATGATGTTATGATTTGTAAAGGCTTTGATACTGAAATACGTTTAAGGAATTAATGAAACAATATTAATATAAACATATTACACTGTTCAAATGAAGTGCATATTATTGTGAATGTCACTGTTGCATAAATACACCACGGACTAAACTGAGCTGCAGCACACATCATTTAGTTCATTTATAATAATAGGCAGTTTAAAAGTCTTCACTTCCTGTTTCGTTTTCTATTTTGTTTGTTGTGTTCTTTGTTCTTGTTTACCATGGCTTGAAATAAAGTATTCACTCATTCATAAAGTCCTCCTCTTTACTCACAGAGAGCTCACCTCAGGAGCTCACCTCAGGAGCTCACCTCAGAGAGCTCACCTCAGGAGCTCACCTCAGGAGCTCACCTCAGGAGCTCACCTCAGGAGCTCACCTCAGGAGCTCACCTCAGGAGCTCACCTCAGGAGCTCACCTCAGGAGCTCACCTCAGAGAGCTCACCTCAGGAGCTCACCTCAGAGAGCTCACCTCAGGAGCTCACCTCAGGAGCTCACCTCAGGAGCTCACCTCAGAGAGCTCACCTCAGAGAGCTCACCTCAGGAGCTCACCTCAGGAGCTCACCTCAGGAGCTCACCTCAGGAGCTATTCACATATTTGGAGAAGCCGGACTCATAACTATCGGTACTTTTGACATGTTTTGAGTGCTAAAAAGTTATTTCCAGGTTTTGAGGATTGTGATTATGTGATGTATTCTGGATCAGAGATTAATTGAGGGCATACTATTACAAATACATTACCAATCTATTTTATGCAATTAAACATAAAGGACTCTACTAAAGTTTAGAACACATCTAGTACCTGTTAACATTTGGACTGGAATAATTAAGAGGTATCAATAGAAAAAGTATAGTAGGTATTTGAGGTGGATTGCTTACGATGTAGACTTCACACCAACCAAATTAGATACAGATTCAAACTGTGGGATAATTTGTTCAAAAATGTAATTTGTTTTTAGAAAATTAAGGATAATTATGGCCTCCAGAACCATGATTTTCACAGATATTTATAGTTACAACACTATTTGGGCCAGATATAATAAAAGATTTGATGGATCATATGGATCACAATCCAGAACCAGAATTATTTCTAAATTATACAAGATTCTGGAGGACTTAAAAGCTGATATTTCACATATTTGTACAAGAGAAGTGGGAGAGGGAGGTAAAGGTAGTCATATCAGGATAGGAATGGGTGGAAATAAATCAACATCAGTGGAAAACCACATATTCAAGTTCTAAAACTGGTGAATGTAACGGAAATACAGCAAAAACCGTTTGTTGAATTGCTAATGCTAACTGCTAACAGTAAATAGTGTGTTGCTATGGTAACTAGCACCGGCTGTTCTCCGGTAATGACAAATAAACTACATACATAATATATATATGGTACGGGGCATGGACTCGATATATAATTTATAATTATATTCTTATTTTCGTAGGTAGGATGGCTATGATTGGTCACTGTGGCAGAACCGACCTACGAATAATAATATCCTGGACTGGTTCTGGTTCTTGGTTTTCCTCCATAGAAGAGCAAGAGCCTGCAACAAACTGGTTTAAGCTTTGATCTTTCACGTTTCATGCTGACAGAAAAATTAAAATAATAACTTTACCCAAACTGTTTAAAAAAGGGAAAAACGAGGCCAGATGTAGTTTCGTCTCTTGTCCACTAGATGTCAGTGTTAACACAGCAGTGATTCTCATGAGCCCACTCTGCACCTGTCTGCGCCACTCTGCACCTGTCTGCGCCACTCTGCACCTGTCTGCGCCACTCTGCACCTGTCTGCGCCACGCGCTCAGCAGTTGGTCAAAAAAGTGACATTTTGAGGTTAGTATCTTTAAAATGACACGAAAAAAACAATAAAATAACAATGATTTTGAGATTTTTAGCCTTTAAAACTTAGTATTTTAAATGTCTAATTGAATAAGCATATGGATATATACAGTATTTATGGCGCTAGCTTACATTGCTCGTCTGTAGTTTTGTATATAACAGCTAACGTTAACAGCTAACGATGCTAATTGGAAGGTTGTAATAAGCACAATATTTTCATATGTCCAGTAATTTTACCCACCAGTTTTTCATCTCAAATACACTTATACCCAGCACTGTGGTTTACTGTAGTGAGAATAACATGACTTTATTTAAAACTGGGACTCTACTACTAAAATATATATGTAATAATGAAAAAATCCAGTTATTAAACGTTATTATATTACAAGGTTGTAGTTTAGCTTTTATTCACTGCAAATGTGAGTTACCAAATTCTAACTGCTGCTAGTAAACAGTGTGTTGCTATTGTAACTTATGCTCACTCTTCTCTGCTGGAAAACAAAACTGATCGTGCAGAACCAGACCCAGTCCAGGACCAGTCCAGAACCAGTCCACGACCAGGACCTGGAATAAGAGGCCATATAATGTTGTGTGCCAGACTTGAAGTGGAGGTTTTCTGCAAAATGTCAATGGGTAAGTAATATAAATTTATTACACACGCACGCACAAGATCATGTTGTTATTGGCCAAATAAATTTAAGATAATGCCTGATATTAGTTTTTTTATTAGCCTTAGCTGTGTTACATGTGTAGTTGTGGTCCACAGTCAGATAAGTACTGAGTCTTCAAACACTACGTCTCTGTCCATGGTCTTTTCCACTAATGCATGGTTCAGCAGTGACTTCTGAGTGTGTGTGTGTGTGTGTGTCTGCGTGTGAGTGCGAGTGTCTGTGTGTGTGCGTGTGTGCATATGCATGTGTGTGTGTGTGTGATGGACATTTCTGCTGCAGTGGTGGCCTGCTGCCTGTTGTGTAACTCTGTGCTCTGGGTCGCGTGGCTGCAGGGATTAAATCAGAGCCAGTTTTCTCCACACGCGACCAAAACAACCCGCGAGGGAGACCAGGAAACACCAGGAGGAGGCTGAGTTTACTTAAAGAGACAGGACAGGACCATGGTATAGAAGCGGATCTAGGGAAAACTTTTGCACAAAGCAATACACACAAATATACAGCAGTTTGAAGAGAGGTTGGATTCCCTAGGGCTGTAAAAGTAGGGCTGTCAAAATTATCGCGTTAACGCACGTTAATGAATTTTTTTCATTAATCGCGTTACAAAAAATAACGCATTTGACGCATACCCTTGCATCCCATAATAACACTCAGGATGCCGCGGACACATGCGCGTGTGTAAGATGGGGACAGAGCAGGTAGGCCCTCTGGGAATTCAAGTTTTGAAAGAATACACGCGTGACCGCGGGGCACTTGTTGTTTCCTGTATGAACTCTGCATGATGAGCTGCGGGCGCCACAGCGCTCTGGACAGCAGCTCCCACTTCCAATTAATTTCCTAATTAATTGTTTGACAGCCCTACTTAAAAGTGATAAGAGATATGAAGCTGAAGCGGATATTCAGACTGAAAGACCGAGTGCAAATCCCCCCAAGCCTGCAAATCATACAGCTCTGCCAGCCCTGAGCCTCAGCCAATCACACAGCTCTGCCAGCCCTGAGCCTCAGCCAATCACACAGCTCTGCCAGCCCTGAGCCTCAGCCAATCACACAGCTCTGCCAGCCCTGAGCCTCAGCCAATCACACAGCTCTGCCAGCCTTGAGCCTCAGCCAATCACACAGCTCTGCCAGCCCTGAGCCTCAGCCAATCACACAGCTCTGCCAGCCCTGAGCCTCAGCCAATCACACAGCCCGGCCAGCCTCCTGCCAACTCTCTCACAGCAAAGCGGGCAGTTTAAAAGGCAGCCACTTCCTGACAAGCAACGCTTCCTGAGGCTCTTAAACACCCACCACCTCCCCAGCACCCCCTCTGGCTCCTGCTCCTGCTCTGGCTCTAGGCTCCTGCTCTGGCTCTAGGCTCCTGCTCCTGCTCCGGCTCCTGCTCCGCCTACGCCCCATTCACACCATACTCTAGCCACCACCAGTGCTTGACCCCTGGGGATCTGAGATCATCTTCAGCTGCAATCAATCTCATCGCTGCAAGTGTCACTGCCTGGGTCAATGCGCCAAATAAATAAATAATTTTATTGTATTTATTGTGTCTTTGGTCTATTCAGATTGAAAAAGACTTTGTGTAAATTAGAAAAATATTAAGAATGGTCAAAAGTTTTTGTAGGTGGTTTTTATAATTTCCATAAAATGTTTGTATTTTTTTAACTGATAGACATGTAAATCACTTGGACATGAACACAAAAAGAGAACTCACACTGTAACATGCTAAATGTTTAGGGAAATAGTAAAAAAATGCAAATCATGACTGCCCCAGACTGCTGTGAGCACTCTGCCCAGGCGCGCGTTACACGTTACTGTCTCGGTGATGGCGGGAGGCACGATAAAAATATCTGTGGGAAGCACTATTTGCGGAGATTTTAGCAGAGGCTGGAGTCACGGCGCGGCGCCCCGTCGCCACTTCCAGGCTTGTCCTCCGCAAATCTAACCTGTCTCCGAACCTCCCAATGACTGCCCTGACCCTGAGAAACACTGTTTCCACTGACTCTGTGCTAAGTTAAGTTAGTGTTTGTTTGGTATAACACTCGCGTTCTGGTTCAACGCGGTCTTGCTCGAATATTTTGTATGGGAGCATGAAGTTTTTTGGGGCCAGGGAGGTAGTCTGACATGTCTGCCAACTAGTGGAAGGGAGTATGAATGAATTTTGACACTCTGCCGTTTTAAACAGTACTGTAGCCTGTCGACTTAAGTCGACCGTGGCGCCTAGAGGGTTAATAACAAAACGCAATGTGTGGCGGTCGGCCTCACATCTGTGGCGGTGTGCCACAGATTCGCCTATGTGTGGGAAACACTGAGCACACACACACAATATAAAGCACACACACACACACACACACACACACACACACACACACACACACACACGCACACGCACACGCACACGCACACGCACACGCACACACACGCACACAGAAGTCACTGCTGAACCATGCATTAGTGGAAAAGACCATGGACAGAGACATAGTGTTTGCAGACTCAGTACTTATCTGACTCTCGACCACAACTACACATGTAAGAACTATGTGTGGAACTATGTGTAGAAATAATATTATGACTTTATTTAAATATATTTGGTCAATAACAACATGTACTCTGAGAAGCACAGGGACTGGCCTCCTGCTGGGACTCTGAGGAGCACAGGGACTGGCCTCCTGCTGGGACTCTGAGGAGCACAGGGACTGGCCTCCTGCTGGGACTCTGAGGAGCACAGGGACTGGCCTCCTGCTGGGACTCTGAGAAGCACAGGGACTGGCCTCCTGCTGGGACTCTGAGGAGCACAGGGACTGGCCTCCTGCTGGGACTCTGAGGAGCACAGGGACTGGCCTCCTGCTGGGACTCTGAGAAGCACAGGGACTGGCCTCCTGCTGGGACTCTGAGGAGCACAGGGACTGGCCTCCTGCTGGGACTCTGAGGAGCACAGGGACTGGACTCCTGCTGGGACTCTGAGGAGCACAGGGACTGGCCTCCTGCTGGGACTCTGAGGAGCACAGGGACTGGCCTCCTGCTGGGACTCTGAGGAGCACAGGGACTGGCCTCCTTCTGGGAGGCCAGTCACTCTTTTGAATGTGATTATTTGTATCACTTTGTGTGCTATACAAATAACCTTGCCCTGTTATGTAAATACAAACCCTCTATATCTGTATCTTTCAGACCTGTGTTGACCCGGAACGACCGTGGGAATGGTCACCGCATTGTTTGCACCTGTGTCATCCTCTCCCCGAGCAGCGTGTTCAACAGCCCAAACTCTGACGGTGAGAGCTTCACTCACCCGAACACAGCTCCAAGGCTCGTCACGCCGTCAGAGAGAGACCAGAGAGACAAACCAGAGAGAGAGACCAGAGAGAGACCAGAGAGAGAGACCAGAGAGAGAGACCAGAGAGAGACACCAGAGAGAGACCAGAGAGAGAGACCAGAGAGTGAGACCAGAGAGAGACCAGAGAGAGAGACCAGAGAGAGAGACCAGAGAGAGAGACCAGAGAGAGACCAGAGAGAGAGACCAGAGAGAGAGACCAGAGAGAGAGACCAGAGAGAGAGACCAGAGAGAGACCAGAGAGAGACCAGAGAGAGAGACCAGAGAGAGAGACCAGAGAGAGAGACCAGAGAGAGACCAGAGAGAGAGACCAGAGAGAGAGACCAGAGAGAGAGACCAGAGAGAGACCAGAGAGACACCAGAGAGAGACCAGAGAGAGAGACCAGAGAGAGAGACCAGAGAGAGACCAGAGAGAGAGACCAGAGAGAGACCAGAGAGAGAGACCAGAGAGAGACCAGAGAGAGAGACCAGAGAGAGAGACCAGAGAGAGACCAGAGAGAGACCAGAGAGAGACGCCAGAAAGAGACCAGAGAGAGACCAGGGAGAGACAAGAGAGCCCAGAGGGAGACCAGAGAGAGACCAGAGAGAGACCAGAGAGAGACCAGGGAGAGACAAGAGAGCCCAGAGGGAGACCAGAGAGAGACCAGAGAGAGACCAGAGAGAGACCAGAGAGAGACCAGGGAGAGACCAGGGAGAGACCAGGGAGAGACCAGGGAGAGACAAGAGAGCCCAGAGGGAGACCAAAGAGAGCCCAGAGGGAGACCAGAGAGAGACCAGAGAGAGACCAGAGAGAGACCAGAGAGAGACCAGGGAGAGACCAGGGAGAGACAAGAGAGCCCAGAGGGAGACCAGAGAGAGAGGCTAGAAAGAGACCAGAGAGAGAGGCCAGAAAGAGACCAGAGAGAGAGGCCAGAAAGAGACCAGAGAGAGACCAGAACGAGACCAGAGAGAGATCAGAGAGAGACCAGAGAGAGACCAGAGAGAGACCAGAGACAGACCAG